ATCCTTCAGAATTGTCTTTCTAAAATTTGTTCTTAGAATACCATTCCTATTAGCAGCACATCGTGTAGTAACTGAGTCAAAGTTCATTAATTATGTCACCCAATGCTATACCATGCATAGAATATACTTTTATTTTTCCTAATGAAGATTCCAGTTGATTTTAGAAGAGATAGTGATAGTAAGATTAGAGATAATTACATAATCAGACATATGATTCCTCCTTTTCTTCTCCAGCTTGTAGAATAAAGTTGAAGCTCAAGCACTGGGTGTAACTAACATTTCTGACCCTTAACGTTCATTATCTCTTAGCATTATTTACCTCACTCTCCTTCAGCTAGCAGAATCATTCAGCAGTTTCATGAATATGTCAACATCTTTATTTCTCTCCTTCTTTTATACATGACTATTTCTGTTCCTTGAATTACAGTCAGTGCTCTGTACCTGCAGGTTCCCCTTCCCTGGATTCATGTAAAATATCAAATATATTTGGATAAGAAAATTGAACCTGCACTGAACATATGCAGACATTTTTCTTGTCATTATTCCCTGTGGAATGCAATATATCAGATATTCACATGGTATTTATGTGCATCGAGTATTATAAGAAGTCACCTAGAGATGGGTCTGCAGGAGGATGTGCTTAGGTTCTATGCTGGGGCTTCTAGAACAATACCCCTATGGATCCTGAGGGACAACTGTACTTCCCTCTTCTTTCTCTTGCTAGGTGTGTTCTTATTTATCAATGATGATTTTGCACAGATGTCCTCTCTCTTGTGTATCTGTAGCTACTTCTTTCCCTGTACTTCCAAAGCATTTTTTTCCATTCCCCATCTCTCACATGTGCACAGTTGGGTAACATTAATCTCACCATTTCTCCCCTTAGACAGCAAACTCTTGAAGGATGAAATCATGTCTTACTTGTTTTCATCTTCCTAGATCCCAACACAGAATTCGGCTTAAGTAGATGCTCAGAATGGTTGATATTGGTTGACATTAAATTGCCATTCACAATCTTATTAACTAATATGGAGATCAGGAAAGTGAGACATGCCTGGAAAGGGAAAAAATATGATTTCATGTCACCAACTAATAAATGTAAGGTCATACTGGGAATATTAAAGGTAAATAGTTTTATTTTGAAAGACACTTAGGAGTTGAGAAATTTAGCTAGAATTTTCTAAAATATAAAGAGTCTACTTAGGGTATAATAATGGTGTGGACATCATTACATTGAAGTTACATGATTAGGGTGAGAAGTTGTGGACTTGAAGCAAGAAATCATCACATGTCACATGATGAAGGATGGAGAAGTCTCACCTCTCTTGGCATGTAGTGCCTTTATAGTGTGCTGTGACATAACATTGTACCCAAGGACTCTCCTGTAAAGCTGAGGAGAGAAAAGCACTAGCCTACAAGGTTCACTAGTTAGTTCTGAAAGTGTCTTATGATTCTTCCAAAAAAAATGAGGGGAATCAAAGTTACTGTGATGGTGAAGACTTTCAGTTCTAGAAGATGATGATGTCCCAGAGAGGACTGAGAAAGTTTTTTCTTTTCTATTTCTGGGACACTGTTTTGCCTGCATCTACCTAATGAAGAAAGACTTTGCAGTTTTGTGTTTTTATGACGTTGCTGAAGGTGAGGTGGTTTGACTTCTGGTCACAGCATAGTACAATAACAATAATTTCTTTGCATTGAAAACACGGCCAGGCCTTTGCTTGAGTGGTCATGTGCATCAAATTTACATAACAGGCCAGGATGGGAACATTTGGACACTTGTCCCCAGCCACTAGCAGGCATTGATACCACAGATATGTGCATATTTCCTGAAGAGGGTGCTTCTAGGTGCTGGACCTGGGGTACCTGCCCAGGGTATTTTTCCCCGTGGAGTGATGGTGGTAGGAAACAGTGTTAGGTTACAGTTGGTGTCTGGCCAGCATGCGTGTCTTTCCTGGTGTCATGTTCATGATACAAAGCAATGGAAAATGACCCTGAGGACATTCATGTAAAATTAATTCATTTATAATTCTGACACCAAACCTATAGATGTGTTTGTTAAATTGATGACATAGTAAACTGAAGAACTTTTTGCCTAAATGGTTTACGTTTTATTAAAGTGAACATGATTTTAGAGAGAAATGTTTGACACAATCACAAAAACACTATTCTCCAGGTTAGTAAAAATTCTCATTTGAATCAACAACAACAAAAAATCTAACTCCAAGAGAGATATGAATAGGATAAGTATGAGACCCAAGGGGTTCCAATACTATAGCTGGTATTATTTTATTTTCAGAAAGAAAAGTGGCCGGGAAAAGCTGTGTACTGGGTATTTTGGTATTTGTTATACTTTGTATTTGACAATTGACTTAAATACTTCCCAACAAAACCCCTTTAAAGCACCTTTTGGATAGGATGAGAGAATTTCAAGAAGTAATATGGCCATTATAAATTATATTTGTTACAAGTTTTCTACTTCCAACATTTAAAAAGACTTACTAGTTTTTGTTGTTGTGTACATGTCAATTCTTTATAAAAACATGTTGGAATTCTGATATTTAATCAATTTAATATATTTTTTGCTCTTGTTACTTTATACCTGGAAATCTTAGTTTCTAAAAGCCTGGTTAAAATAGTAAACCACAATGTGAAAAATGAAGATTTTCTGAGATGTAGTTAACCAGGGGATCTCCAAGGTGTCCATATCCTAATTCATGGAACCTGTTAATATCTTACCTTATGGGGCATTAGGGACTTTGCAAATGAGATACAATTAGGCTCTTGAGAGAGAAGATGGCTCTGGATTATCCAGAGGCACTTAATGTAATCTCAGGATCCTTATGGGAGGGGGTTAAAGGAGAGATGTGTTCAGGGGAACCAAGCAACAGCTACTCCTGACAGCCTCCAGAAGGAACATGGCCCTGGAGACACCTTGAGTTTTGACCTTTGAAAATGATTTTGAATTTCTGAGTACTGTGTGTAAAAGGTGATAAATTGGAATTTGAAGTCTCTGTATTTGTGCTAGCTCTTACAGCAGTCATAGGAAATGAATACTGACAGGCTGTGGTTGAGAATGAAGGAGTCAGGACTTAGAAGGGAGAGGGAGTACTCCCTCATCTTAGAGACCACTGGGCTCACTGACAATTTAGAAGGGAAGAGGGTTAGGTCTGCAATAATCCTGGTTACCTGGATTAACACCCTGGCAGCACTGTTTACTAGCTGTGTAATCTTGAGTAACTGATTCTCAGTCTGCCTTTGTTCTCCTGTTTGTAAAAATGGGAATGATAATAAAAACTTGCACCATAGCTTGTTATGAGGTTTAGCTGACATAATCCATACAAAGTGTTTGCACAGACCCTGACATATAGTAAAGGGGCCATAAACTTGGAGCAGTATTGTATAAACCCTCAGTTATTCAAAGGCTTTGCTCTATGTTCATGGCTGCTCAATTTTATTAGCACACTTAATAAGGTCACTGGTTCTTTTGGAAACCACATAAGTGGTGCATTCTTCAAAGAAATGCCTGCTTGTTCTGATGGCGGTGATATCGTGGCTAAGCATGTGTTCCTTGCAGTGGTAGAATCTTTGTTTCATTTTAATATGCGGCACAAAATAAATATACAGGAACAAGTCCGTTCTTTGCAGTGAAACTTGTTTCTGGTTACCTGTCAGGTCTTAATTCAGAGGACTGTAAGGTTTGCATCTTTATACCTGCCCTCATGCTCGCAATAGGAGGATTTGCTTACAATAGCAGAAATCTCAGGGCCAGGAGCTCCACAATGCGGGGGTACAGGAGAAAGAGCACATAGTGCATTATAGTTCTAGAGTTATGAGAACGTAGAAAGTTTCATACTTGCCAGTTTATGGCTCCGTTATCACTCAGTGGAAGATGAATTCCCTTCTCTTGTTTTGCCTTAGGTTAATGAAGTCCTTTTGGTACTTCACGTAACCATGCCTCTTTAAATGTAACTGAATGAGTTGTCACCTAGCTCAGACTAAATTTTCCCAGTTGGTGATATTTGAATTGGTAAGAGGTGACAGGTTCTGGGTGAACCTGTGTGCCCAGTAAGGTAGAAGACAGTAAGAGCAAGGACAAATGACAGACAGCTGAGAGAGGTGTGTGCCAGGTAGAGAGAGGGTGGTTTATGACACTGTGATTACTCATTGAGGGAAATGTGTGAACAGCTTTCAATGTCCAGCTCACAATGTGTACTTGATATTTTCCCAAGATATGCGAAAGAGCCATATCAAAATAGCTTTCATGAAAGAAGTCCTAAAATTTTGTAAATAAATGCTAGAGAAGACAAACAAAATAATTTTTTCCTTTAGGACTTTTGGATACTTTTAATATATTTCAAATTTCACAGAAATAGATATAATAGATAAATAGAAATGAGACCCCAAACTAAGGGATTGGGATGAAAAAGAGTGAGTGGGTCTGAGACATATTCAGGATGAAGAACTGAAAATGACTGCCATCCAATTATTTGGAGAGGAGTCCAATGAGGAAGGGGTGACAGGGAAGAGAAGGCCAACAAGACCATTAGGATTTTATGCAGTAGTTTATGATTTTACAGAGAAAGAAGTCTAGTATATATAGGAGAAAGAATTGGTGGGAGGAAAATAGATTTCAGTTTTACTTTGGACAGTTTTATTTGGTTTCAAAAAGGAGAAGTGACAGTGCTGATGACTGTAAGAACATAGATGTTCTTTGAGAACATAGATGTTCTTTGAGAACATAGATGTGGGATAAGGAGCTCTTTAGATGAAGGGCTAGAGAGCAGAACAGAGCAGGGGGGCTCAAGCCACAGGTCTGAATGAAAGCCCCAGATATAGTAGGATTTTTCAAAGTTTGTTTGCAAATCCCATTAACTTATAAAATTCAGTCTTTAATATTGTAATTGTAGAAGAGTAAGTGATAATTTAGCTCTTAGGAGGTGACCCTGGGGTTTTGATTAGTACCATTGTCCTGTTTTGAGTAGAAGCTGTACCTTTTCTTTCAGAATCACTGCTTGTGCAATGACTATGAATAAATATGTGGAAGAAAATGTGTCTCAGAAGTCCTACACAACCATCAAGTATTTCATGAAGATGCTGAGTAGTGTCAGTGAGACCTTGATCTTCATTTTCATGGGAGTGTCCACTGTTGGGAAGAACCATGAGTGGAACTGGGCCTTCGTCTGCTTCACCCTGGCATTCTGTCTCATTTGGAGAGCACTGGGTAAAGTACTTGTTTGCTCAATGAACAGTGAATGACAATAACACAGTGGGGTTTCATCTTCCTCCCTTTCTTCTGCAGCTGCTTTATTCTCTTCACATCTTCTTCCTCATCTACCTTTTCCTTCCCTCCCTCCTCCTACTCCACTTCCTGTTAATTTTCATCTCACATTCCTCTTCTTCATCTTTCTTTCTCTTTTTCCTCTCTTTCTTCTTCCTCTTGTCCTAGACCTCTTCTGTCTCTTCCTTTTCTTCCTCATCTTATGTATAGTCTCTTCTCTTCTCCTCCTTACACATTCTTTTCTGCTTTGAGGATCTATAGGCCTTTGCTGTCAGTCAAATTAGTTTCTGTTGGCTTCTGTGATTCCAATAGGTAAAAACTTGTTATCTTGGAAAATAATAGCACAGGCCTGAGAACCTAGTAGTGCTAATAAGATAGAGAAAGGGAAAGGCCTTCGCCCTGCCACAGAAGCACAGAAAATTGATCTTTATGTGTTCATATTCTGGCCTCACTCTCTGTTTTCTCTTGGGTTTGTCTTTCTTTATAGGTGTCTTTGTCCTGACTCAGGTCATTAACTGGTTCCGGACCATTCCTCTGACCTTCAAGGACCAGTTCATCATTGCTTATGGAGGACTTCGGGGAGCCATCTGCTTTGCGCTAGTGTTTCTCCTTCCTGCCTCTGTATTTCCTCGTAAGAAGTTGTTCATTACAGCTGCCATTGTTGTCATATTCTTCACTGTCTTCATCTTGGTAAGTCATGCTCTTTCTCCCAGAAAAGTCTCTCCCATTTCCTGGGAGGAAACAAGGTCTTTCAGACTCTCCAATGAATTCTAATGAATTCTGTTGATGAGATACAAATTGGCAAGGGTGTGTTGAGGCTTTGGTAATCATGGTAGCAGGAAAAATGATATTTCCTGTCTGGGTTAAGGTCACTGCTTCACCCTGGCATCTGGGATGCTACAAGTCCAATTTGGTCACTTGGCCTCCACAGAGAAATTGTTTATTTAAGGAAACTCAGCTAAGTGAGCTAAGCTTACTACTGGAAACATATGAACCATACTTGCTATTCTTTGTCGTTCTCCTTGCTCTCTGACCTAGTAAATGTACTTGTCAAATGCTTGTTGTGCACTGTGACCTTGCACCAACTATTTGTCAGTTGTTGACTGTTGATGGTACCTCCCCTGGGACAGAGGAATGGGTGAATTGAGTTTACTATTGGGAAACAGTAAGTATGGTGGACTTAACAATAGCACTTAACTTTGCAAATTAGTATATTCCAGCTCTCAGTAGATTAAATTTTGTGGATATTAATTTAGAAAATATTTATTGGCCTTCTGCTATATGCAGGCACTTTCTTTAGAATTTATTATCTATACATGTACAAAGCAAAACGATCTCTGACTCCACAGAATTTACGTTCATGGCAAGGGTGGGTAGGGGCAAAGTGGCAGACTCTAGACAAGACGCATGATAAGTAAATTATGGAGTGTGTTAGAAGGTGTAAGAAGTTACACAGCAAAGGACAGGTAGTGGATCAGGCATGGAAACAGCAAAGCAGAGGATGCTCATGAAAGGGAGAGTGGAGAAAAGGACCTTTGAGCAAAGGCTTATAGGAGGTGGAAGAATTAGCCAAGCTGAAGAACATTCCAGAAAAATGGTTCTGAGGGGTGAAGTGTGTTTGGAGGGCAGCGTGTGCTTTGCCAGGGTCACAAGAGTAGAGCAAGGGGTGCAGTCTCAGGAGGATGAGGTAAAGAATATTCTGGAGTCCTATGTCACGTAGGGCTATGCAGCTTGGCTCTTCTCCAGCTGAACTGGGAGCCACTAGAAGGTTGTGTGCAGAAGTGTGATGTATTCTGACCTATTTGTAAATGGCTCACCTGGGGCCTTTGTTGAGAACAGACACTTGAGAGGAAAAAGTAGAAGTGGGGAGTCCATGGTGGAGTCCAAGGCAGGCACCGGATAGGCCCGGTGGTGGCAGGGGAGTTGGTAAGAAGTGAGGAGATCCTGTAGTTATTCTGAACAAGTGATCAGGGTGCAAAGGTGAAAGCCAGGTGGTTTTGTTTCTAAATTTTAATATTTAACAGTCTCAAAGTGCTATGTAGGTGCTTGACTCATAGTCAAAAATCTTTCTTATAAACTCATTCAACCCTCAAAACAATTTCACTTCACCTGACTATGGGATTTTACTATCCCCATTTTGTTCATGAGGAAAGTGAGGCACTGAAACTTATGTTAAGTAGTTTTATCAAGTTAATAGGAAGCAAAAGGTAAAGCAGGGAGTTAGCACCAGGTTGGTCTTAACCAGGAAAGAAATGCCTGTTGGAGAGCCTGGTGTGCACTGAGCACTCCGTAAGGTAAAATGTCCTTCTCATCAGTTCTCCAAAAGATACCACAGCCTTCCTTCAGTTATGCTTTGCAGCATGGTAACAGTGTACTATGTGGAATCCTAAGGAAGGGTGCCTTGGAAGATCCAGGCCTAAGTTGAGGAGTGACCACTTTCCATTACTGCCCTTGTCATCAGCACCTTATAACGCCAGCTCCCTTCAATGATTTCCAGTAGTGCAGCATGTCAGGCACTCAGAATAGGGCTTTCCTATATATATTGTATCATCTCAACTGCAGAACAACTCTCTGAGCTGGAGATCAGTGTTGCCTGCCACTGAGGAAACTCATTCTCAGCTGACCCCAGAACATACATTTGTAAGTGACCATGGCTGAAGTTGACCCCAGACCTGACTGCTTGGTACTACTTACTCACTTAAAGAAGGGATCATTTATTTACCAGGTCATGGTTAATAACGTAGTTATGTATCCCTCCATGATGGGATTACATTCTGAGAAAGTCAACATTAAGATTTAGTTGCGCAAACATCACAGAGTTTGCCTACACAAACCTAGATGGTACAGCGCACTACAAATTTAGGATACATGATATAAACTAGTTTTAAATTTAATTTTCTTTTTTTAACCTTTGACCTTTTTTTGTTATACTGAGACACAAACACAGACTTTGGCCTAGACCTACACAGGGTCAGGATCATCAATATCAAGGTCTTCCACCTCCACATCTTGTTCCAGGGCAATAACCCAAATGGAGTTGTCACCTCCTGTAGTAACAATGCCTTCTTCTTCAATCCCTCCTCGAGGACCTTCCTGAGGCTGTTTTGCAGTTAACCTTAAAAAATAAGTAGAAGGAGTACACTCTAAAACAGTTGTAAAAAGTGTAGTCATAGAAAATAAGTAAATTAAAAAACCATTTAATACTATCAAGTGTCATTGCTGTATATAACCGGTACATAGCTGATGAGCTCCATTTTTATTAGTGGCAGCACAGTAGGTGTGTGTATACCAGCATCACCACACACATGTGAGTGATGTACTGAGCTGTAATATTGCCATTGTGATTACATCACTAGGCCATAGGAACTTCCCAGCCTCATTGTAATCTTATGGGCCCCCTGTTGCATATGTGGCCTGTATTTTAATCAAGTGTTATATGATGCCTGGCTGTAGTTTCAGTTCAGTTGCTACTTTTTGTTCCAACCTCTCATGGTTTGAGTGCCTTTGTCAAACTCAGGGGACACCAAGGAGCATTCTGGGTCTTGAGGGGAGGCACATTTCCCAGTCTTCATCTTTCATCTTCAGTGTTTGCAGGATCTTTTTCACAAGTCATCAATTCACCACTTTCACACCTGGCCTGAGGCAAAGTTGTAAAATGAATCAGTTTTGCCTTGGGTATTTTAATCTCTCCTAGTATCCTAGGGCAGAGCACTTGCAGGGCAAGGCCAGAAGGGATGATTCACTTTCTCTTCCCAGACCTTCTGCCTCTCCTCACTACAACAGTGAGTCCTGCCAAGGTATGCAGTGCTTCTGGACTGATGGACTGCTTTGCAGCCTCCCAGAATGGAGGTTATCAAATCTAAGAACCAAATACAAAGATAGACTCAGGTCATCCTAGCATGACTAGGAACTAGGTTACTGAGAGAGGATCATAGCAGTCATGGTCATCTGCACAAATGCTTCTTATTGTCACATACCTGTGATGCAAAGCCAGGCTTTGCCCAGATATCATGGACCTGGCGCATTTGTAAAATATAACCAGAGTAATGTCAGAGAAAGATGGGATTCAAAACATGAAACAACATACAAACCCTGAGTTATATTTCATAAAGTTATTTTTCTACAGTCAGAACAAACATTGCATAGGAAACAAAGAAAAGTAGTGCAAAAATGAAAAAAAGTTATTCATAGGATTTATGTATATAGATGATTAATATAAAATATCTCCCTTATACTCATAATTTTTTGACTATTGGGACTGTAACTCAACCAAGAAATAAAGAAGAAACACCAATTACCTGTACTGAAGGCCTTCACACCCACTTTGAGCAAATACAATGTATATCAATATTTAACCTTCTAATGTGATGAATAAACTTGAGCCATTGAGTTTTTTTAACTAATCTAATAAAGGTGGGATTTCTACATTTATCTCACTTAGTAACAGTTAACTTGCAGACCAGTGCTACTCAGTGGAGCAGCATTAATTAATAGACCCTGCTTTGAGTCACACTGGTATCTAGTTTTATGTCCTGTGCACTGGGCTGGTTATTGATACTCAAAGGAACCATGAAAATTTCTGGCTTTTAAGGACAGAAAGTATTTGCTGCAAAGGTCTTTGTGTGGTGGTGATGATTAATTTGAGAAATGAGAGATGTGGAGTCAGTTAGGATCTGTACAAAAGGCAGTCCAAACAGAAGGAATAACTGACACAGAGTCCTAACATAGGAAGCTTTTGGAACAAAAAAAGGACCCAAATTGGCAGGGAGAGAGTCAAACTACACAGATGGAGTGGGGGACTTGGTGGGGGAGAGGACATGACTGAGCATTGAAAGCTGAGGTGAAGAGGGTGGTTTTAGTCAAAGAGGATGAGAAGGGATTGAAGCGGGGGAGTGACATGGTTGAAAAAGGTATCACTGACTCTTTGATGAGAGAATGAATTACAGGAGACAAAAATAGAAGCAACGAGACTGATTTGGGTGCTTGTGCAATAATCTAGGCTAGAAAAGATGACGGTTTGACCTTCTGTAGCAGTGGGGAGATGGAAAGAAGTAGATGAATTCTGTTTATCATGGAGGACTACCCAACAAGACAAAATGTGAGAAGTGAGCCAAAGCAGAATTAAGGGCGAGTCTGAGCATACCTTTTAACTCTTGTGCCATGTGGGGGCAGTGGGAGGAAAGTATGGAGACATTCATGTGAGGTGGTTCACCTGATCCGGTGCTGTAGGAGTGTGATTTTTTTCAAGTGTGAAGAGGAGTGGATGAGGGTAGAAGGAAGCAGCATGATGAAGTATGGCAGAGGCCCTAAAAGAGGAGGAAGACTTGGGAAACAACCAAGATACCTAAGACATATGGGCTGCATGTGGTAGTATGAGTGTGTCAGTCTAACTAACGCTCTAGTGGGAGAAAAACCAGAGAAAGGGATCAGTATTTGGAGCCATGTCAGTTTTTCCTCTGGCAAGGGTAAAAGATAGTTTTGGTCAAGCTCTTTGTCATGCCCGTAGGAAAGAGAAATGGCCATCGCTCCACCACCACTGGTGGCTTCTCTTTCCAAGATTAGCCTCACCATTCTATGTACACAGATTGGAGGCTGGTGCATGCATATTTCTTGATTCTGACCCCTTCCTTTCACTCCAGTTCTCCACAGCTGGCTTTTAAACACAATAGGAGCACACACATGCACATATA